CTACCTGGTCATCAGTGCTTCTGTGTTGTCAGTAGCCTGTTTAATGCCGGATCCAGTTTGTGATTGGTTTCTAGGAACCACTGAAGTCTGGTGGCTAGCACTCTCTCCATCAGTTTTGCAGGGCAACTTAACAAACTGATAGGCCTGTAGCTCTGAGGGTCCTTCTTGTCCTTGCCACTTTTGAGCATACGGTGGATTATAGCATTTTTCCAAATATCTGGGACTCTGCCTAGTTTCCAGCTATTTTTGTATATCAGGAGTAAGATGTTTTGTGCTTCTGGACCCATATGTTAGAGCATGTCATTTAAGACTTCGTCTATGCCAGATGCCTTCTTTGACTTGAGTTGTCTCAGTGCTCTTAGTAGCTCAGTTGAGTTATGTCAGTCTCCATGCATGGCTCACAAGAGGCCTTTTTGACTGTGTTTATCCAACCTTGGACTGCTTTCTTTTGCTCCAGGGCTACCAAATATGAGCTTTCTCACAGTTTCGGGCCATCAGAGTCGCTGCTTCATTCCCTGTGAGTAGGTTTCCTTCTTGTTGGAGAACTGTTTTCCCACGAGATGTGTTATCATTCAGTGCTTTTGTCAGTCTCTACAATGTTTGGTTATCTTTTTCCATGTTTAGAGAGGCAGTCTTTTATTTCCAGGACTCTTGACACTGGTTTCTTTCTCTGACATTAGGGGCCTTGCTCTGTTGTTCTGCTTCACATTTTTTTCAGTTAAATTAGCTTCCATGCTATCTCTAGCCTCACAGAGTGAAACGTGGCTAACTTCCAGATCTGGTGACCAGTATGGCTTATAACTGTACCTCCTTCCTCCAGGAATTGCTTATTTTGCTGCATTCACTGTGGCTTTGTTGAATTCCTATGCATCTCTGTCTACCTTACCTGACTGGCTGATTTCTTTGCAGTTTGCGTCTGCAAGTTCTTGAAATATTTCCAATCTGCCTTTTTATAGATCCAACTTGGTGAAGTGTCTGGAGATTTTTCTATTTTAATGCTGTTTATCAGAATTTTCACTGGCCTGTGGTCACTACCACACAATTGTCACACAACTGGTCACATATCTTTTGGATGTCATCTGATGTGAATGCTAGATCAGGTGCGCTTGTTGTGCGTCACTGTTTTGAGCAGTGTGTGTGACTGGTGTGACTGAGAAGGGTGAGACGTTTTGTGAGTAGCCACTCTTCAAGATTTTCTCCACGGGAGTCTAAACAGTCATAACTCCAGCTCGGAGAGTGAGTGTTGAAATATCCTATAATTAGCAGGTTGCACTTCTGAAAGTGTATAACTTCAAGTTCGGTAGGGAGGGTGAGTGGTGAGTAAATATTGTATACAGACTTTGTTTTTTAATTTTTAAGTTGCAGCTGAACAGCAATAAATTTAGTATTCATCTGGTTGGATCTATGTAATTCAACAGCTGGTATTGAATTACGAACCAGTATGCAATCCCACCTTTATGTCTAGTTTCTCTACCCTGGTGACAATATTATATATCCTACAATATTGAATCTATTTTCTGGATTGTGGTGTGTCTCTTGAATGCAGATAACACTGATTCTCTCTGCTCACAGGCGTTCCTCTGGTTCTCTCTTTTTATTAAACACATCTTCCGCGTTCCACTGCATGATTACTAGTGGTGGAAGTTTATCCTCGCATTTAGAAGTGACACTGTGTCCTTCGCTAGCAATGCAGGAAGCCACAGGGCTGTCGGTTGCAAAGGGTAAACCTGTTTGAGATGTGAGAGCAAGTCTAGCTTTCACCTGATTGTTACCTAATGTGGTGGTACCACAGTTGGATAAATATTTGCGCATGGCAACTGTGAAAACTGCATGTGTTGATTCCTCCCCACCAAAAAAACAGTTGACACATTCGTTTCTCGGGACAGTCTTTATTGAGTTTGCTTTCTAGACAGTTGCAGTCTCCTGCTGATGAAATTCTGTCTTCCCGGACAATGACCCACAGCGATCAAAACACTGCCACAGCAGCATGGTAGAAGCTGCCAAAACTTTTGGTCATTATTCCTCCCCGACACAGCACAACCACAATACAGGCTGCTGACACGAAAAACACATAGTATCCTGCACTGGAAATGCTCATAAAATAGCAGTCCATTATAAGGGGACAGAACAATCCGAGAGAAATCGCAACCAGCGAAAACTATCACCGCTGCTATTCGCTGTTTTAAAAATGAAAGTCCCTAATATATATTAATACCTACTATTTACCAGTCCCCTCATACCAAATTTTTCAAAATGTATTTATCGTCATAAAGCCACCATGTAATTTATGTGTCTTTTTATCACCACCTTCAAGAGTGTATTTATTTATTAATGCTTCAATTTAATAATTTATGCATACATTTTTATGTACAACCCTTGACAAAAATGTCTCAAAATTCAGCTGTGAATAAACAATGGCTTGTTTTTTTTTTATTTATCAATGCATCAATTTAATCATTTATGCATACATTTTTATGTATAACCCTTGAAGAAAATGTCTCAAACTCTCTGTGAATAAACAATGTGTTGTTTGTTATTTATCGACGCATCAATTTAATCATTTATTACTCTGTGAATAAACAGTGTGTTGTTTTCCTGCAGCAGCCATAGTATTGGAGTGGCTAGACACTCGCCTCCCGTCTTGAAGGTCTTGTCTTCAAATACGGATAAAGACAGATTTGTTCTTCTTCTTCAAAACTGACCTTGACTTCCAAGTCGATCAGGACTAAACTGGGTACCAGGTAATTAAAGGAAGTAAAGGCGGCCAGGGTGATGTCAACCACATTATCTACAGAGTGCAGATTGGTCTATAAAAATATAGGTCTAGCCTTATATGCCAAATTTACCAAAGAAATTGAAAGGGTCCTTTTATGTTTTGTCTGTGCTTTCATCAAAGATAAACAAAGAGAGATAACCATCAGCTTTTTGAATACATGAACTTTTTCCTTCCCTTGACTAATTTAAAAAATGCAAAAGTAATTCCTTGGTTTCAAATACACATGAATGTGGATTTAAATTAAAAAAAACACCTGATTTCCAGGTAAATTCAGCGTACAAAGCTGATAGCATCACCACCTCGAAGCCAATTAGTCTCTAATAATGTGTCTAGCACTTTGTGTTTGAGGCACCAATAGTGTGAAAATGGTCTTTCATTTTTTTTTTGAATAGCAGAATTACTCTGACTGCTTATAAGGTGTAAGAGGGGTCTATCACTTGTTTTGAATAGCAGAATTACTCTGACTGCTTATAAGGTGTGAGAGGGGTCTATCACTTGTTTTGAATAGCAGAATTACTCTGACTGCTTATAAGGTGTGAGAGGGGTCTATCACTTGTTTTGAATAGCAGAATTACTCTGACTGCTTATAAGGTGTGAGAGGGGTCTATCACTTGTTTTGAATAGCAGAATTACTCTGACTGCTTATAAGGTGTGAGAGGGGTCTATCACTTGTTTTGAATAGCAGAATTACTCTGACTGCTTATAAGGTGTGAGAGGGGTCTTTCACTTGTTTTGAATAGCAGAATTACTCTGACTGCTTATAAGGTGTGAGAGGGGTCTTTCACTTGTTTTGAATAGCAGAATTACTCTGACTGCTTATAAGGTTTGAGAGGGGTCTTTCACTTGTTTTGAATAGCAGAATTACTCTGACTGCTTATAAGGTGTGAGAGGGGTCTTTCACTTGTTTTGAATAGCAGAATTACTCTGACTGCTTATAAGGTGTGAGAGGGGTCTTTCACTTGTTTTGAATAGCAAAATTACTCTGACTGCTTATAAGGTGTGAGAGGGGTCTATCACTTGTTTTGAATAGCAGAATTACTCTGACTGCTTATAAGGTGTGAGAGGGGTCTTTCACTTGTTTTGAATAGCAGAATTACTCTGACTGCTTTTAAGGTGTGAGAGGGGTCTTTTGCTTTTTTTTTTTTTTTTTACATAGGATAGTACAACTACCCTGATTGTTCAAAATTAAACAAACAAAAAATACATAGCACCCTAACATATACAAAATCAACACTGATGTTTTCTTCTGCTTTGGGTTAATGAACAATCAAAATTGTGGTAGAACTACAAAATTTCCTTTGATTTATGACACCTTGGATAATGCTAAGAAACTGGAGCCTAAATACAGACTGGCATTATATGGGTTGCTAGAATACAAGAGAAAAGGCATAAAGCAGAAGAAGAAAAGAGAGAACAGACAGAAGAAAAGTTAGAGGAACTTCAAAGACCAAAGCTGGAGAGAAGAAGAAATAAGGAACTTCAAAGACCAAAGCTGGAGAGAAGAAGAAATAATCAGTGGTATTATTATGTCAAGTTGTGGAATATCATTTCTTAGAAATAAATTCAAGTTATGTCATTAAAAAAAAAAATTATATTTTCATTTACTGGAGGTAATTTGTGTTTGATTATTTACATCCATTTTAGATATAACAGTCGACGTTGTGGCTAAGTCAATGCAAACGCTTTGTAATGCCGGGATGCCGGGTTCAATCCCAGCTGCGGGCCATGCGCCTTGCGTTGGTTTTGACAGTGGTATCAAGAAAGCCGACTGTCCAGAAAGCAATGGCAAACTACTGGACGTAAATTTGCCTATAAAAAAAACACAACAGCCAGGGGCTGTTGGGGTTGGTTCTGCAGTCCTGTAAAGGATACGCAGCTAACCTTAGATATAACATGTAACTCCCATTCTGGGTTCCTGGGTCCAATTCTGGGGGAAATAGAACAGATCTGCAGCTCCCTAATAAGCATGTAATAAAATGTGACTAATAAGGAATTTGCTGAAATCAAATGGGCCAAAAAGTGCAGATACTGCAGCCTAGCTATAAACTATAACACAGGATGCCGTCTGCCTTTAAGGTTAACTGCAGGAGAAGAAGAAGAAGAAGAAAAAGAAGCAAAAGAAGAAGAAGAAGAAGAAGAAGAAGGAGGTGAAGAAGAAAAAAAGAAGGCTCAAATGTGTTTGAAATCTGTTACCTTTCACTGCATATCCATCTTTGATTGAGGCTGGGAACGGCGGTAATGGATCAGCTGCATACACAGAAGTGGCCAGATATCTCCCCAAGGCATCTGAATAAGCAATGAAAATCATGATGTGAAAGGACAATTCTAAATGTAAAGGCCAGAGAAAACAAGTTTACTAGCTCACTAACAAGAAGTGATACAAAATTCTATAAATTATTCACATTTTTCGTGTCCTAAAAAGTTATGCTTTTAATGTGCAATTCTCCAACTAACATGAAGTTAAACGGTTGTACCGACTAGAACATTTAATAAACAAATTAAACATACTATTCCAATATCATGTTGTACATTGAGGATATCATACTAGGCTTCTTGTTATTAGATCAATCAGCACTACATAGGAAATGTGGTCAGTATTATACCGACTGTCTCTTTTTCTGCCTTTCCAATCTCAATGGAGAACAGGCCCCCCAACCAAACAAACCAAGATCTTTTGTAGACTTTTTCAAAGCTTTTCTTTTGAGCTGAAATGCTATAGGAAGATTCTCAGAATATCTTGGACAAAGAGGAGGAGAAATATTGACTTCTTGAGAGATCTGAACATCAAGGAAGATTGGCTAATAAACAGCATCCTGTCTTGGAAGCTGAAATATTTTGGTATATCAAGGGCCACGATGGACTGGAAAACATAATAGCAGAAGGCATGGTACCAGGAGGGAGAGGCAGGAACCGACCAACAAGAAGATGGGCACAGGATATAAGTGACTCCTTGAGTATGAAGGTGTATGAGACGGGAGAGCTGGCGAGAGAACAAGTTTTTTTCAGGCAGACCGTGATGACAGCGACGTTATGCAAAGGACCTGCTACATGATGATGATGAGCTATGTATACCAACATTTGAAATTAGATCTTTCAGAAAATTCCTTGGTATGTCATATAGACCACAGCACAAATGATGAAGTTTACTGTATGATTCACTCAACACAGTGGAAACTACAAGCCTCTTTTAACAACAGTGAAAAGATGGAAAATGCAACGGTATGGATATATAAGAAGATCTACCAGTCTCTCCAAACAATTCTCCAGGGTTCAGTAGAGGGAAAGAGGACAAGAGGCAGACTGATAGCAGAGAAAAGTGAGTGTCTCAGTCCCAAGTAAGAGTTCATAAGCAAGATAACAATATCAATCCACTGAATCCCACTATACCTTTAAAGCAGACATCTTCCGTGGGCAGTACATGAGTATTCTCCAGAACCAAAGCCAGAGCTTCCTCCACTGTGATGATTGGGTAAGGAGATTTCCTCGGTCGCATAGCTACCTGTCCAGCATTCACATGACCTAAAGAGAAGGCAGAAACATCTTTGGTAATCCACTTACACAATTCTGAGTGACACTGAAAACCCTGGTTTGATTCCCGCAGAAAAGACTATTCTTGCAGCTTTCATACAGTGGTTAGAAAATCATACAGCCCCTTACCACATAGTTAACAGTGGCAACGTATGGATGTGAGAAATGGCCGCTTACTCAATCACCAAAGAAAAAAATTTTAGAGCTTTTGAACTGAAATGCTAAAGAAATCTTTTTCTCCAAGAAGAAGAAGAACACAGTGACCCTACAGGATCCAAGCATCAAGGAGAACTGGCTCAGAAACAACATTCACTCCTGAATGCTGAGGTATTTTTGCCACATCAAACATCATGGTAGTCTGGATAGACTAGCATGATGAATGGTAGTTTCCGGAAAATGACACAGAGGCAGACCTCAGGGAAAATAGATACAAGACATTGAAGATGCATTGGCTATGAAAGCACACAGGGCTGGAGAATTGGCTACAGAAAGAGAGACTTTCTGGTGTGCTTTGACGAGAGCAAATTCACGTTCAGTATTCCATGGTGCCCGTCGACTTGGGCAAAATTCTGAATCCCAAATCTTGAATTTCTTGTACATATGGCTGCAGTGCCTGTCATGCTAAAGTACTTATTAATACTAAAATCAAGATAAATATTGGAATCAAAAAAAGGATTGCATTCTAAAGCTGAGAGTTTTTTTTTTGGTCTGTAAATGATATGATCTCCTTACATTTGTTCTGCAGAGTCCTAGTTGTTCATGGACCGGCTAGTTCATTGTTTTCTGTATCAACATCCTTTCACGTCAGTCCGACTCATTCAGGTTTCATCCTCCAATGCAGCAGACATCTCAGCATCTCGTCTGCTTGCTGTACCCAACAGGAGTTTGATTGTTAAATCTCCTTTCTTTGCCCTGCAACCATTTTTACATGATTGTACTTGTTTAATACCTTTTTCCAAAAGCTGGTTTATATCTCTGACTCGTTTGTCTCAATGTTTCTGGAATGTAGCACATTCAGTGTGTCTACCCTGTCCATACTTCTTCCTTCACTAACTACTTCAGAGACGGCCATTAATTTCCTTTCGAGCCTGGCATATTCTGTTCTGTACAGCTGTATCTCATCAGATGCATACAACAGTAACAAATACATAAATGAAGCAAATAAGATAGCTTCCTGGGGCAGGACTTCTGGATGTTGCCAACCCATTGTTCTTGGATTTTGTCAGTTTGGATGTTCTTAAGCATGCTCACTGGGTCTGCCACTCCCTGTATGGGTTGGGGGGGGGGTGGGGGGGGGTACCTGTGGGGGGGGGGGGGGGGGGGGACAAAGAACAGACCCATTGCCCCCAACAAGCATGTCACAAAAGTCAACCAATTAGGGATGTTTCCCTCTGCACGAGAGGTGAGTGACTAAAGTGACTAAAAGTCTGCATACAAATTGGTCAGTTCCGTCAAATGGATGTGCTCAAGTTATGGAACAAGACTAAAGTCCAGAAGTAAACAAACAACCAGAATGTTTTGCTGGAGTTTACTGCCAGTGAACGTGACAGAGAAGAAGAAAGAGAAGAAAAAGAAAAAGTTTGTCACTTTCAATGTTTGAGCTGCTTTTTATTTTGCCAGCCATGTAAGTGTTCCTGTAACAGCTTCTATCTCCACTGTAAGTGGAAAACAATTCCTTAAAGTATCAATTCTAGTATAAAATTAATGCCCGAACAATCTGGTAGAAAAAGAGTTAAAGTGACAACTCACTGTGAACATGTCCATGGTGATGCCGCTGATGACAGCTGTGGCCTCTGTCACCGTCAGATGGAGGATGAGGGTGTGGGGTCAAGTTAGAGCCATCAGCAGATGGTTGATGGTGACCACTGTCCACACTCTTGCTGTGACCACAGTGACCAGTCAGCTTGTGGCCATGATCTCCAGAATGCTGCAATGGAAAATGGAAAGTTAATACACTATCATCATCATCTCAATAGTCCCATAACATAGCGTGTCGATGGGTCATCATTTGCTGTTGACTGTCTAATCTTAATCTGATCTAAAAGGTAAAGGTAAAAGGTAAAGTCAGGAGATGTGAAACAGCGTCATTGCACAGGTTATAAACCATAAGTGCTCTGCCACCAGTACGGACTGCTGATAAGAAATTGCCACCCTGTGTCGCTGTCCGCACATAACTCTGTAGCTACAGCGATGTTCCTCCATTTGCCACAGAGTGTTAACTCTGGTACCCATTTCCTAGAGGCTGGGTGAACCCCGGAAACTGCCCGGTTTCGAACACCGACCATGGGCTGCAGCAAGTCGCAGCTGAATTTGAAAGCGAGCCTCTTATCGACTGCACTAACGCGGCCCTCTGATCTGATCTATCTACATCTGATGGTCAGATGTCCCCATGCCTTAAATGAGTACCAGGTCAACTCCTGGGAAGTAAAGGTGGCCACCATAATGTTAACCACATCACCCAGTGAGTACTAATTGGTCTATAAAATAGACGTCTAGCAAAAAGCCTGAGGAAAATGAAACTTAAATGAACAGAAACATATAACTTTCCCACCATGAGGGGAAAAAAGAATAGATCCATTGCTCAATAATGAGCATGTTGTAAAACTCGATTAATTAGGGATGTTTCATTCAAAGTTGAACGGTATTTGCCTGAGAAGCAAGGAACTAACCGTCTGCATGGATGTGCATGCAAAACTCAAGTTCTTTGAAAAAAAAACATTTTTTAAAAAGTTCAGAAATGGATGAAAAATCAGAACTTTCTGCTGCAGTTTACAGCTGATGAATATGAACGAACGAACGAACGAACGAACAAACTTTATTTTCAAAGGGTTAAGAATTGGGCACACAGGCCTTCTTATGAAGAAGAAGGTCAGATGCACTGGACAGAGATGTAAATTGAACTTGTCCAGTCAGCCCAATTTTAATCCAGGTTTTACTTTACTTTTTCTCTTCACCTTTACCAAGCCTCAGTTAGGAGACACCAGTAGATCTTATAACATGTCCATACCATACATTTGTCTTTTAACTGTTTATCTTCCGCAAAACACTACTTAAATATCAGGCTTAAATAAAGTCCGGAATCGATTTATTTTTGTGCCACACTAACTGCTTGTAACTCATTATAAAAGTGAACAAAAAGGACACAAACAAAAGATTGCAAAATTTATTACCTAGCATATTTTGCTGCAACTCATCAGATGCATACAACAGTAACAAATACATAAATGAAGCAAATAAGTGAATCCTTTATAAACGAAGTAGAAATTCAACAACAGTCAAACGCAACTGCCTGTTTTACTACAGCAGCCGCAGTGTCAGAATCATGTCTCTTTGTTTACAGAGTTCAGGATGCAGGTAACGAATCAGCCATTAAATCTAGCCCCTCAAGTGACAGAGTCTGCAACTTTCTTGAAAACTGCTTTATTTTCACCTTGGGGACACAAACACCTATGAAACTGAACTGTCAACACAGTTTCATCTAAAATCCTCGAGTTACGACCTCTGGAATTCTCAGGCTATTTATTCTTGGTCCGCATGTGTCTCTTGATTCCACTGGCAAGACATCAATATGGCTGCTTGGGGATACGTCAGTTTAGTGATTTTATGTATTCGCGTCATTTTGTTCGATTTATGAATGTGCTGATGAAAACCTCTGTAGCCGCAACGTTCTATTTTTCATTCTGTTTTATACCTTTTCATGTTTTATATCTTTTCATGTTTTATATTTTTTCATGTTTTAGATCTTTTCATGTTTTATATCTTTTCATGTTTTATATCTTTTCATGCATGATATAAAAATATGAGTCTAGCACCACTGGCCTGAACACCAAACAAATAAAAATTATTTAAAAAGTGTATGCTCAACCAGGGGAACAACGGACAGAAGAAAAAGTGTTTGCTTTACACAAAAATAGCACAGACTGTAACATCAGGTAGAAGTACCAACTGTGACTGACAGACCACATTAGCATTTCTATTTCCCTGGATGTGTACCTTGAAGTAGTAGAAGGGGCTTGTGTATTCAAATGACCCCAAGAGTTATGCCCACATTTAGAGTAACTACTGGTAGAGTCTCTCTTGCTGGACAGGTCTCATCATCGTCAACAGGTCCTTTACAGAATGTCACTCTCCTCATGGCACGTCTGAAGGTTTCTCTTGCTCTAGCCAATCTCCAGCCTTATATGTGCCCTCAGAACCAACGCATCTTCTTGTTCTGTATCCACATTTATGGAAGTCTGCCTCTGCCGAGTTTTCTAGAAATGTACCCTCCATGATTGTTCTCTCCAGGCCACAATGATGTTTAACATGGCCAATATAACTCAGCTTTTGGAGCAAGATGCGGTTTTTGAGCCAAGTCTTGATGTTCAGAATACACAGAAAGTCTGTGTGTTTCTTCTTCTTGGTCCATGGTATTTAAGAATGTTTCTGGACCAAGATTCTTTCTTGGCTTCACTGTTGAGTTTCTAGGGATATATAATGTGGTAATCTTCAGCAGTCTTGGAGATTGTCAGGGTGAGTGAGTTTCCTGCTCTGTGAGGCTAGCAGCAGATAACACCACAGACAACAGGTCTCTAAAACAGCAATAAGACACAGAGAGACAAACCTGCTGTCTTGCAGGTAGACTGGAAAAATCAAACCTTTACAGTGCTTGTCAAAATCAGTTGTACGAGCTCTCTATGTGGGTTCTGCCCCCCACCCCTCCCCCAAGGGGGTGACTGATTGAGAGTATTTACTTCAAAGTCAAAGTGCATCTGTCTGAGGTGTTTCCTTCAAAGCTAGAGTGCAGCATCTGCCTGAGGCGAGGAACCAACAATCTGCATATAAATAAACCAGGTCTGTAAAAAGGATATGCATGTAAACTCAAGTTCTGGAACAAGACCAAGGTCCAGAAGTGGATGAAGAATCGAACGTTCTAGAGAAGTTTACTGTTGGTGAAAGCTTAAAAAAAAAAAAAAAGTTTTATAAGATACTATCTTGGCAAAACAGTATAACAGAACTTTCTTCATGAGGAATTTTAAGCAAGGTACAACCATTAGCAAACAAAACATCATGTGTCAGATAAACACAAATAGGTGAATCTTTGACATTTAAATTTACAGTGCAGCAGAACAAAATTTAAAAAAAAAATAAAACAATCATAAACACACTGAAAATAAATGCAACAAAATAATGCACTTAATTTTCAATAAAACAATTTCTTTTCCAGTTCATAACTTTTGTCTTTTTTTAGACAGTGCCAAATAGGCAGATAAATAAGTCTAAACATGTGTTTCCACCACTGCAGCTTTCAAAGTACAGTAAAACAAGAAGTAGCATTACAACAACAAGCAAATGTTTATATAAATATATAAGTCAGGCAGCAGTGCGAGAGGGACACACCAATCAGTCGATCAAACAAAGCAAGCAGATCTGACAGCAGGTCGGCAACTATGAGTCAAGATGCTTATAAAGACAACAGTAAACCAGCAATCCTCATATGCGCTTACACACAGAATTATCACTGGCTGACAAACACTGGCACAGTGTTACAAATCTACAGAAACAGCAGTGAACTGATGATTAATGAACCTAACTGAACCAACAGAGTCAGAAGTCATCAGTACATACTTAGATACAGAACTAGCTGTGAACCAATAATCATTATATTTACTTACAACCACAACTAGAAATGAACAAATGACCATCCGAGCTGCGTACAAACATAACTAGCCGTGCTCCAATAACCAGCATATTTACTTATAAACAGAACAGGCTGTGAAACGACAACCATCTTTTTCAGTTTTTCACAGAAATAGCAGTTAAAAGAAACAGTCATTTTATTCAGTTTTTTTTTACAGAACTAGCAGTGAAAGAACATCTATCTTATCTGTTTACACACAGAACTAGCAGTGAGAGAACAGCCATCTTATTTACTTATCCACAGAACTAGCAATGAATTACCAACCACCTTATCTGTTTACACACAGAACTAGCAGTGAGAGAACAGCCATCTTATTTACTTATCCACAGAACTAGCAATGAATTACCAACCACCTTATTTGTTTATACACAGGAAGAGCAGTGAATTAGTAACCGTATTTGTTTGGACACAGAACAGTGGGTAAAAGGTGAATAATCACTGGTGCCGATAGACACAATTGTAAACACAGCTTCCCTGTGTGAGTCCTAGAGCCCCACTGGGGGATGGGAGTGGAGAGACTAGACTCAATGTCCCTTAACACACACGTCGTAAAATGCAACTAAGGGATTTGTGGAAATCAGATGTGTTAGGCTGAAAGGCAGTTATCACAGCCTAGCTGTAAACCGTAACTACTCTTTTAAGGGTGAACATAGAAGAACCAGCAGCTGACCAGAGCACTTTATGCCTATTCAACAACAGATCCAGCAGTGATCAGCAATGACTCATCACAACGGGCTGACAGACTGACTCAAGCCAAGTTGTGCTGCCAGAGCTAGAGTTGCTTCACAATAGGAAGGCAGAGTTGGCAGCATCTCCTGCAATTGTGCCGGGAGGTTCCCAGAGGAGGCACTGCCATCTTCTGTTATACCTTCAGCTGCTGCTGTATGTGAGAAGTACTGGGGTGATACGGAAAGTGGGGAAATCTCAGAAGTGCTTAAGGAAGGGCAAGAGGGAGGTGCACTGGCAGTGACAGCAGTTGCTGTGTACATGTGTGCATTCGAGTTGGGATTCTCCGAAAGAGGGAGAAAACCACTAATCCCTATGAGAGAATCCAGCATTACAGCATCAGAAGCTGGCACTAAGAACTGAGTTTCTTGTGAAGAGAAATGCTGTAAATTTGGAGATTGACTCCTGTTGCTAGTTCCTGGCTGTATATGTGTTTGTTCACTTGTGATGTAATGTTGACTGGCAGAATGGCTTTGATCTACTTGGCATTTTTCTGAAGAGCTCAAATTGTCCAGGCTGCT